ATCATCATGCCTCCTCCTCCCTCCTCCTCCTCCCTTCCCACTCCTAGCTCTGCCCTCCGCACGTCAATTTGGGCGCACCCCGCACACGCTTCGTGGCCCCATAGTGAGCTGCACCGACTGCCTCCGTAGGGCATGTCGCATGCGGTCCTGCACCCATTCGGGCACACCCCTCGTACGTCTCGTGGCCCCACAGGGAGCTCCACCGAAGGTCCCAGTGGCGCAGTTCGCATGCGGTCCCGCCACGGCACACCCATCACACGCATTGTGGCCCCACAGGAAGCTCCACCGAAGGTCCCAGTGGCGCAGTTCGCATGCGGTCCCGCACCCCTTTCGGCACACCCCTCACATGGCTCGTGGCTGCAAAGGAAGCTTCACCGAAGGTCCCAGTGGTGCAATTCGCATGCGGTCCTGCACCCCTTCCGGAACACCCCTCACACGTTTCGAGCCCCCTTTGGGAGCTTCACCGAAGGTCCCTGTGGTGCAGTTCGCATGCGGTCCCACAACAATTTCGGTACACCCCTCAGATGCTTCGTGGCCCCACTAGGAGCTCCACCGAAGGTCCCAGTGGCGCAGCCCGCTTGCGGTCCGACCCACTAATTTCGGCACACCCCTCACACGCGCCGTGGCCCCATTGTGAGTCCCACCGGAGGTCCCAGTGGCGCAGTTTGCATGCGTCCGCGCCACCCATTTCCCCACACCACTCACAGGTTTCGTGGCCCCAAAGGGAGTCCCACCAAAGATCCCAGCTGGGGCAATTCGCATGCGCCCCCGCCACCCATGCCGGCAATCTCCTCACACGTTTCGTAAGCAGCTCAACCGAAGGTCCCAGTCCTTCTCTTCCCTCCCCCTCACGTTCGTCCTCCTCCTACTCCTCCTCCTCCTCCTCCTCCTCCTCCTCCTCCTCCGCCTCCTCCTCCTCCTCCTCCTCCTCGGTGTCCTCTTCGTCTCTCGCCTTCGCCGTGCCCCTTCCGGAACGGCGCGACGGCAAACACACGCTCGTCACCGTGTGATCGGCCCGAACATCACGAGCACGGCGTAAAGCAGCAGCAGCAGCAGCGGCAGCAGCAGCATCCCTGCCCCGTGGGCGCGGCGCCTCCATGGCCGCCGCAGCGCGCACGCCGCGCGCCGCGGGGGGCGTGCGTCAGCCCTGAGCCGCCGCACCGCGGGGAGACGCAGAAGGGGCGCGCCAGGGGACACGGACTTCGACCCGCGAGCGCAACCGATCGCAGCCAGACGAGGCCGACGACGACGACGACGACGACGACGACGACGACGACGACGACGACAACGAGGGCGAGAGCGAGGGCACCGACGACAACGACGGGGGCGAGGGCACCTCCGACGACTACGACGACGACGACGACGACGACGACGACGACGAGAACACCGACGACGACGACGACGACGACGACGACGACGACGACAACGACCAGGGACCGATCGGCAACCACAAAGGACCGACCACAGCCAATAGTGATAGGGCTCTTCCGATTGCGACCAACGGGGCACGCCTCAAGACACGCCGTAATGGTGAAGCCACCCTCAATACGGATTCAGGATTAAGCGAACTCCCTCAATTGGTCGCTCAGAACTCTGGAGAAGCGGTTGCGATCCAGAGGATCAACGACGGATTGCCACCTTGAGCTGACACACTGGCAATGACTCATAAGACTAATTGGGGTCGCGGCTTCATTGCGAAATGCCTAGTGACGTAGTGACCCAACCTGTCCTGTCAGCCACCGTGCCTCGAGGCACGAAGTGGAGTGTCTCGAGATTATCAAGAGACCCCAGCGATCAATACTGGGGCTTGTGAATACGCTTCAAGGGTTGGGAATCCATATTGCCATATTATCTAGGGCTCCCCGCGAGACGTTTCCTGAGGCCAGGGGGGCACGAGACGGTCCACGAGGGACCTCAGAGGCCCCAAGCACGGTCCAAGTGACATTCAAGAGGGCCCAAAAGTGCCAAATGTTGTTTCAAGGCTGTACTAGAGACCGTCAAGAAGCCCAAAGAGGGCCACAAGAGGAGCCACCCAAGAGACAATATCAGCCAGCGTTGACTCCAAATAGATTAGACGACTCAAATCAAAGAATCAGAGGAATCAAGCATGCTTGGAATCCGCAACTCAGCAAGCAAGCAAGCGTGCAAGCAAGCGCGCAAGCAAGCAAGCAAACAAGCGTGCAAGCGCGCAAGCGCGCAAGCAAGCAAGCAAGCAAGCAAGCAAGCAAGCAGACATAGGCATAGGCGTAGGCATTGGAGTCAGGGGGAGGCATAGGCATAGGCATAGGAATAGCCATAGGAATTAGCGGGAGGCATACGAATTAGGGGGGGCAACGGACCAAGCAGTAGGGTTTGAGCTAGGACTCCTGTAGGGCAAGCCTACTCTGAGAAAAACACTGATTCCCCGTAAACGTTTAAAGGATGGTGCCGTTCTCGCCGTTTCGGGTTCCAACGCTCCAAGAGGGTCGAACAGACCCCCAAGATCGCCCCAAGACGCTCCAAGACGCCCCCAGGAGGGTTCTAAGACGGTACGACGTTCGCAAAGGCCCCGAAACCGCCCCAGAGACCTCCAAGACGCCCCAAGAGTGGCGAAAGGGGGCCCCAAGAAGGGCTCGCGAGGGTGAACCCGAACTGACGTTTCGAACCCTCCGCCCAAAGCGAAGCGGACCCACGAGTCCCGCCAGCAGGCCCCCAAGAAGTCCTTGAGAGGCCCCCCAGAGGCCCCGAGAGACCTAAAACATGCTTCTAAGAGGCCTTATCCCCACAGGCCCTTACACGCATCCAAGAAGCCTCTAACCCACGGCACAGCCACGGTTGCGGGATGGAACGAAGGCCACTAGATGCATGTGCCAAGATCAGTGAATAAAATCAGTTCATCCCAAGCGGATGGCAAAATACGTTCGAACGTCGGCCATCCAAAAATACTGGGTCATTGCACTGATGTTGTATGAGCTGCGTGGAACAAAAGTCTATAAATGCATATATATATATATATATATATGTATATATATACGAATATATGTATATATATACATATATATATATATGTGCGTGTATATGTGTATATGTGTATGTGTATATGTGTATGTATGTGTGTATGCATGTGTATATATATATGTGTGTATGTATGTATGTGTGTACGTGTATATGTATGTGTCGGTGTATATGTATAAGTATGTGTACATGTATATGTATACGTATATGTATATGTGTATGTATATGCATGTGTAGTTGTATATGTACATGTTCATGTATATGGATTTGTATATGTATAGGTGTATGCATATGTATATGTATGTGTAACTGTATATGTATATGTAGATGTAGATGTAAATGTATATGCAAATGTATATGTATATGTATATGTATATGTATGTATATGTGTATATGTATATGTATTTGTATGTGTATAGATATGTATATGTGTAAGTGCATATTCATATTCACATGTATATATATATATATGTGTATGTATGATTATATGTATATGCATATGTATTTGTATATGTATATGTATATGTAAATGTATATGTATATGTATATGTATATGTATATGTATATGTATATGTATATGTATATGTATATGTATGTGTATGTGTATGTATATGTACATGTATATGTATATGTATGTATATATATGTGTATATGTGTATGTAAATGTGTGTGTGTGTGTGAATGTATATGTATACGTATACGTACATATATAGTTGTGTGTATATGTAAATAGATGTATATGCATATGTATATGTATATGTATATGTATATGCCTATGCATGTGTTCATGTGTATGCATATGTATGTGTAAATGTAAATGCCCATGTATACGTTTATGTATAGGTATAGGTATAGTTATGGGTATATGTATACGTATATATGTCGGTATAGGTAAAGGAAGAGGTAAAGGTACATGTATATGTATATGCATATGTATTTGTAAATGTAGTTGAATATGCATATGCAAATGTATATGTATATGTATATGTACATGTATATGTGTATGTATGTGTATATGTATATGTGTATGTGTATGTATATGTCTATGTATATGTATATCTAGATGTAGATGTAGATGTACATGTAGATGCGGATGCATATGTATGTGTATATGTATATGTATGGGTATATGTATGTGTATATGTATATGTGTATGTGCATGTGCATGTCTATGTGTATGTATGTGTGTATGTATAGGTATGCATATGTATATGTGTATGTATATGTATATGTACATGGATGTGTATATCTATGTGTAAATGTATATGTCTATGGGTATGGAGATGGACATGTATACTTAAATGTATGTGTATATGCATGTGTATGTGCATATGTATATGTATATGTAAATGTACATGTCTATGAATATGGGAATGGATATGTATACGTATATGCGTGTGTATGTGTGTGTGCATGTGCATGTGTATTTGTGTATGTATATTATGGATATGTATATGTATATGCATATGCATGTGTATCTATGTACGTGTGTATATATATGTATGTATATGCATATGTATGTGTATAAGTATATGTTTATGCATGTGCATACATATGTACATGTATGTTAATGGTATAAGATATGTGCAGCGATACATGTGCTGTAAGTTGTGTGAAGCGAGCTATGTGGTGTACGCCATGCGGTGCAGGCTATTCAGTGCACGCTGTGTGGTGCAAGCTGTGTGGTGCAAGATACGTGGTGCAAGCTGTATGGTACGAGCTAGTCGGTGTCAGCAGTGCGATGTATGCCATGCAGTGTAAGCTACGTGGTTCAAGCTATATGATGTGAGGTATGTGGTGTAAGCTAAGTGGTAGGATACATGTCGTGTCAGTTATGTGCTGTTGCCCAGGTAGCGTAAGCTATGCAATACCTCTATGTCTATATATCTCTCGCTGTACATATACACATGTTATACAAACATACAAGTGTGTATAGTATCGCTATACAACTATATACATATGTGTATATACATATATGTATATATATGTGCGTGTGTGATGTTACATTGCCTTTTCCGTCTCCCTCTTAGCCTGCACTCTATTCAACGGCAGGAAAAAAAACTAATGTGATGGCGTGCAGGCCAGACCTGCCAATGCCGTTCTATGACCGCTGCATGTACATCATGTCGATCTCCTCCTGCTCTGCTCGAAGTACCATTACCACTTCCAAGCTCTGCGCCTGCACCAGCGTGCGGAAATGTTGTCGAACTACCCATCCTTATCCCCATGAGTCGAAGCGTCAGGCACCGAACGGCACGTCAGGTTAGTATCGAAAGCCGAATACAGCCAAGCCAACAGGCCCTCGACATTCACCACCATCTCCTGCCTCGAGAATCAGGACGAGGTCTAAGGACGACCTGCACCTGCACATGCGCCTTGCAGATCCGCCTCTTCTCCTGCACCTGCCCGCTGCGCGCGAGAGCACCACACTGAATCGCACTAGAGTTCGGTGGCAACTCATGGGAGCCTCCATTACCATCTGGTCGGCTCTTGCGAATCGACGCTAATCGACGCTAGATCGACGCTAATCGACGCTAACCGACGCTAAACAGGCGCTATCTCATCGACTCCCAAACGCTAATCGATGCTGATCGACGCTAAAGACGGAATCACAAGGGTACACCAGGCTCCCATGATTTGCTACCTAACCACTCTGAATCGCACTAGAGCATCCTCAGGTCCCTGGTCCTCGGGTAGGTACCGATACCACTACTCCTAGGACCTCTCCAGGGGTGCGTTCTGACCAGAACTTCAAGGCGAATCCAGCGGTGGCGACGAGGGCCTCCCAGGAGGCCCCCAGAAAAAGGAAAACAGGCGAAGGGTAGCGATATGGTTACCTTTTCCTCAACTGCTTCTCCTGCACCTGCCCGCTGCGTGCGAGAGCATCCCACTGAATCGCACTAGAGCGTCCTCAGGCAGAGCTGGACCTAAACGTTGCATTTCGTTTTGCGTTCGTTTGTTTTTCGTTTTGCTCTACCTGTTCTCCTGTACCGCCCTGCCAAAACGAAAAACAAAACACAGCCCAAGTCCAACAAAACAGCTTTTAGATCCAGCCCTGTCCTCGGGTCCTGCCAGCTCCGCCGCCTCCGCCAGGCTGCCACCGAGCTGCGCTCACCCCGCCCGGCGCCTCCTGCGGCTCCTGCTGCTCGAGCCGCTTGCCCGGCCGAACCCGCGCGCAGGCGGGCACGAGCGGTCCCGCCCGCGCTGGTGCTCGGCGGCACCATGGCCCTCATAGAGGAAGAATAACCGGCATAAACACTTTTTACGTCGGCAGCTACTCCGAATTTCTAAATAAGCGTCGGGGGGGCTTCACCCCCGCCGACAGTTCCACATCGACCCCCGTCGCGGGCAGCCACCGCGCGCCAAAGGCGCTCCGACCCCCGTAGCGGCGCGACGACGAGGCGAGGTTGACTCCTGTCGGGGGGGGGGTACCCACCCACGCTTATTAAGAAAACCAGAGAAGGCAGGGGACGTTCCGCACTGGCGATGGGATGCCTAAACGAGGATACCGTTCGAGCGAATTGTGCCACCGTGCAAGAGGAGGAGCGGGGAGAGGGTGCGGCCGAAAGAGGGGCGGACGGAGCGACGGCATAAACATAAACTTTGGAAGGCCCGCGCGGATTTCTTGGATCTGCGCTGGACCCCCCTCCCTGGCGCGCGGAGCGCGCCAGGGGCGGCGCCAGAGGCGCCGCTGGGGGGGTCCAAGCACAGATCCAAGAAGTCTGCGCGGAGCGCCAAAAGTGTATGTTCATGCTGTTTTTTGTTCTTCGACCTCACGCGCCCAGTCGAAGACAACGTGCTTGGTAGGCATCTCGTTCGTCCGGAGCAGGCGTGCCTCGCACCACACCGCGTTCAGCGGCAGCCCAGACTCCTCCAGGTAGTACTGACCCTTCCGGCCCCAGCGCACCATGGCGTCGATGGCCACGCTGATGCCAGAAGACCGAAAGAGACGACGTGCACATGAGAATTCGTAGGTCCGCGGGGACTTGCCGAGTCGGCGCTGGACCCGCTTCCCCCACATCCCTTCCGTGGCGCGCGTAGCGCGCTGGCGGCGGGAGGGGGGGCCCGCGCCAAGCCAAGAAGCCCGCGCGCACCTCCGAGAGTTCATGACCAGGCCGTCTTCCAGTGTTCGAGATGAGGCCCCTGGTCGTCCGCCGCTGGCCGTCGGGCCGAACCGTCGTGACGGTGAGGCTGGACGGCGTGTCCTCGGTGAGCTGGTAGCGGGTCCCGTCACGCCCCATCCACCGCCCTAGCAGCGGGTGCAGCCGAGGGTCCAGCGCTCGCGGCTGCTGCGCGGCCGCCGCTCCAAGCAGAGCCTGCTGCGTGCTCACGACGTACTGCGCGTGCGCCTGCGCCTTCCGAAGGTCCCCGGGGGGCTCCGTGTCTCCAGAGGCCACCGAAGGTCTCTGGACGCCCCAGGAACCCTCAGAGGCCCGTGGAGGCCCCGACACGGCCAAGCGCGCCAAAAAAACTCGATCGTCGACCGTCGAGAATCGATGCTCGATGACCTGAAGGCACCCACACCTGCCAAACAACTCGGTCCTCTAGGAGCAAGCGTTGAGGCTGAAAAACTGAAAAACACACCAACATCTAATTTCGCAGATCCGCGCGGATTTCTCGGGTCGGTGCTGGCCCCCCCCACAGTTCCCCTGGCGGCGCCTCTGGAGCCGTACATCCGGCGCCGGAAGCTCGCCAGGGAATCGGGGCCCAGCGCCGACCCAAGAAATCCGCCTGGGCATCCGAAAGCTCACGCTCAACCCGTTTTGTAGCTCTTCGTTACATGCTCCTCGCCGGGGCCCGAGGATCGATCCTCTTCTATATCACCGGCGAGGACCGACCATCGATGGCCCAAAGCCCAGCACGCCCGAAGACGTCGATCATACATCGGCAGGGATCGAAGCCCGACGCTCCGCGCCTGGGTCCACCGCAGCCGCTCCGCCGCGCAGGGCGAGCCGCACCGCCTGGGGCCGCCGCCGCCGCCCTGGCTGCCGACAGAGCTGCCGACAGAGCTGCCGCGCCTCCGCCCTCGGCTGCGCCCGCGCTCACGCCGCCGCCCGCGGCTGCGGCTGCGCCGGGCGCGCTCCCGCCGGCCCATTTGGCACGCGCGCGCGCACGCGAGGCGCCGCCGAAGGCGCCCGCCCGCTTCTCGGCCATCGGCCCTCGAGCCAGGGCGAGCGGGGGAGCGCCAGTTCGCGCGCACAGGGAGGGCAGTCTCGGTATCGCCTCGCAAAGAGGAGGGCGGCGGGGCCTCCGTGAAAGACGGTCCTCGAGCCAAGGGTCCCTCCGCCTTCCCCCTCCCCCTCCTCATCCTCGCCCTTCGCTCGGGTGGCCTTCCGTTTCTGCTCGTCTTCGTCTTTATCATTATTTGTCCTATTAATATGTTCATGTGTATGAGCATCATCAATATTGATAAACCTTGTTCGAAATAGTCCATGATTATTAGTAGTAGCATTACTATTGGTGACGCACATAATATCGTTCTTATATATGTAATAACAATAAGTAACACTGTTACTGCTATGTTAACTACTATCAGTAATGATGTTAGCGTTGGTATTAGTATTGTTGTGTCTATTGTTGATTGTGGTGATATGATTAATAGCACTAGGACATGCATGAATAATGTCAGCACTGGTGATATCATTAATGTTGGCATGTGATTGCTACTGTATTACTATCATGATTGATACTAATACTACTACTACTACTACTACTACTACTACTACTACTACTACTACTACTACTACTACTACTACTACTACTACTACTACTACTACTACTACTACTACTACTACTACTACTACTACTACTACTACTACTACTACTACTACTACTACTACTACTACTACTACTACTACTACGACTACTACTACTACTACGACTACTACTACTACTACTACTACTACTACTACTACTACTACTACTACTACTACTACTACTACTACTACTACTACTACTACGACTACTACTACTACTACTACTACTACTACTACTACTACTACTACTACTACTACTACTACTACTACTACTACTACTACTACTACTACTACTACTACTACTACTACTACTACTACTACTACTACTGCTGCTACTGCTACGACTACTACTACTACGACTATTACTACTACGACGACAACTACTGCGACGACTACGACTACGATTACGACTACTACTACTACTACTACTACTACTACTACTACTACTACTACTACTACACCTACTACTACACCTACTACTACTACTAATCATACTTATTGCTACTGTCTCATTCGCATGAATACTACTACTACTACTACTACTACTACTACTACGACGACGACGACGACGACGACGACGACTACTGCTACTCCTACTCCTACTCCTACTACTACTACTACTACTACTACTACTACTACTACTACTACTACTACTACTACGAATACGACTACGACTCCGACTACGACTACGACTACGACTACTACGACTACTACTACTACGACTACGACTACTACTACTACTACTACTACTACTACTACTACTACTACTACTACTACTACTACTACTACTACTACTACGACTACTACTACGACTACTACTACGACTACTACTACTACTACTACTACTACTACTACTACTACTACTACGACTACTACGACTACTACTACTACTACTACTACTACTACTACTACTACTACTACTACTACTACTACTACTACTACTACTACTACTACTACTACTACTACTACTACTACTACTACTACTACTACACTACTACTACTACTACTACTACTACTACTACTACTACTACTACTACTACTACTACTACTGCGACGACTACGACTACTACGACTACTACTACTACTACTACTACTACTACTACTACTACTACTACTACTACTACTACTACTACTACTACTACGACTACGACGACGACGACGACGACGACACGACGACGACGACGACGACGACGACGACGACGACGACGACGACGACGACGACTACGACTACTACTACTACTACTACTACTCTACTACTACTACTACTACCACGACTACTACTACTACTACTACTACTACTACTACTACTACTACTACTACTACTACTACTACTGCTACTGCTATTACTACTACTGATAGTACTCCTACTCCTACTCCTCCTACTACTACTACTACTACTACTACTACTACTACTACTACTACTACTACTACTACTACTACTACTACTACTGCCACTGCTACGACTACGACTACGACTACGACTACGACTACTACTACGACTACTACTACTACTACTACTACTACTACTACTACTGCTACTACGACAACTACTACTGCTATTCGTAACCAAGAGGCCGCCAAGAGGCCCCAGGAGGCCCCACGAGGCGCCCAAGACGCGCCCAAGAGGCCTCCGAGAGGCTCAAAAGATATCCCACGAGGCCCCAAAATGCCCCTAAGAGGCGCCCAAACCGCCTCCAAGAGGCCCCCGAGAGGCTCCCCACGACACACCAACACATGTACAAGAGGCCTCAGACCGACAACCCAGGCACAGAGCGGTATGGGCTGAAGGCCACTAGGGTCCGCCGCCCACTGTTGGCTTGCCACAGGGGTGCCCGGCGTGCTGGATCATTTCGCTTTTGGTTGTGGTTCTTCTTTCCAAAAGAACTCCCCCTGGGGCTTCGGCCCGTCCCGCCGGCCACCCGGAAGGGTGCGCAAAGGGTGGCTGCAAAGGATTTTTCGGCTTCAGATGGTATCCAAGTTCGCCCAAGATATTCCAAGATGGCCTCGAAGACGGCCCAAGAGAGTCAAGGATGCCTCCAACTTCGCACAAGAAACACCTAAGACGGCTCAAGACGGCCCCAAAGGCCTCCAAGAGGCCTCGAAGACGGCCCACGAGGCCTCGAAGAGGTCCTCCAAGACGGCCCAAGAGCCCTCCAAGACGTCTTCCAGAAGGCCCGAAAGGGCCAAAATCATTGATTCTCCTATGGCTTTTGAAGGATTTGGGCATTTTCTTATTTTCAGCTCTCCGACGGCCCAAGACGGCCCAAGAGGCCCCCAACATCGCCCCACGAGCGCCCACGAGGCCTCCAAGATGGCCCCATGACAACCCAAGAGGCCCCCAAGAGGGCCCCAAAAAGGCCCAAGACGGCCCAAAATGGCCCCCAAGACGCCCAAGATGGCCTCCAAGGCGGCCAAGATGGCCTCCAAGATGCCTCCAAGACGGCCAAGAAGGCCTCCAAGACAGCGAAGATGGCCCCAAGATACACCCAAGACGACCCCAGATGGCCTGAAGATGGCCTTCGACTGCCCAAAAGGCCCGCCAGAGGCCTCCAAGACGGCCCACGAGCCCTCCAAGACGTCCTCCAGGAGGCCCGAAAGCTCGGAAACCACCTGGTCCGATAGCTCGCCCGACTGGGTGTTCCCCAAAGGCTTTCGAAACCCACTCGGGGAACGCGTGGCCCGATAGCTTGGCCAGGCTCAAACCCAGCTTTCGGCCACGCAGGCGCTTCCAACAAGGCAGGGGGGCGGCGGTGAATCGCCGTGGGCGTCTTCGATGCTCACCCGTTTCGTCTTGGCCGCGTCCACGACGGCCCAAAGGGGCCCCCCGAGATCGGTCCAGCAGGGCACACGAGGCCTCCAAGAAGGCCCCAAAGCAGCACTGCAGGGCCCAAGAACGACAGCAGGGGCTGCCAAGACGGCCCAAGACGGCCCAAGAGGCCCCCAACATCGCCCCACGAGCGCCCACGAGGCCTCCAAGATGGCCCCATGACAACCCAAGAGGCCCCCAAGAGGGCCCCAAAAAGGCCCAAGACGGCCCAAAATGGCCCCCAAGACGCCCAAGATGGCCTCCAAGGCGGCCAAGATGGCCTCCAAGATGCCTCCAAGACGGCCAAGAAGGCCTCCAAGACAGCGAAGATGGCCCCAAGATACACCCAAGACGACCCCAGATGGCCTGAAGATGGCCTTCGACTGCCCAAAAGGCCCGCCAGAGGCCTCCAAGACGGCCCACGAGCCCTCCAAGACGTCCTCCAGGAGGCCCGAAAGCTCGGAAACCACCTGGTCCGATAGCTCGCCCGACTGGGTGTTCCCCAAAGGCTTTCGAAACCCACTCGGGGAACGCGTGGCCCGATAGCTTGGCCAGGCTCAAACCCAGCTTTCGGCCACGCAGGCGCTTCCAACAAGGCAGGGGGGCGGCGGTGAATCGCCGTTGGCGTCTTCGATGCTCACCCGTTTCGTCTTGGCCGCGTCCACGACGGCCCAAAGGGGCCCCCCGAGATCGGTCCAGCAGGGCACACGAGGCCTCCAAGAAGGCCCCAAAGCAGCACTGCAGGGCCCAAGAACGACAGCAGGGGCTGCCAAGACGGCCCGGGAGAGCCCCAAAGAGGGCCCTCAGGGGAGCCCAACAGGGAAGACACGAACTGACGTGTCGAGCCTTTCTCCCCAAGATGGCCCCAAGAGACCCCCGACGCCCCCGAGGCGCCCAGAAGAGGGCCAAGAGGCTTCCGAGGCGTCCCCAAGATGCCCCCAAGAGGCCCCGAAGAAGGCCCAAGAGCCCCCCCTAGATGTCCCCAACAGCCCTCGAAAAGGCCCATGAGAGCCTTCCCACGAGCCCATCATATGATTGCAAGAAGCTCTTGACCCACTAGATAACTTACGTCGCAAGCACTCGCTCCTTCTGGGGGGTCCGCAGAATGGCGTGAGCCACTTGAGTGCTCCAGGCCCTCGATACCCGCCCTCTTCGTCTTCAATCGGACCCCCTTTTGTGGCACCCTGCCTCTCGAATCCAAAGAGACGTCTGGCTGGCTCACACAACAGCACCTCGTCCGCGTTAACACTTTTCCGCCGCACAGCTTCGTCACTGCGTGGCAAAATACGTGGGGCCGCCGCCAACATCTTCGTATGGGTGAGTTTCACCCTTCGAAGTCACCAGGGACTCATCCGTGCGGGCCTCAAATCGGAAGGGCACGTCCGTGCCACGTCCGCGCATCTCCTCGTCCACGGCATCCTTGCAGGCCCTGCTCACCTGGACCTTACCCACGTGGGACGTCGACTCTAGTATCTCCACACACGTCATAAGCTCACCGAACAAATGGTACCGCTGCATGTCAGTACCGACAATGCCCCCGACGCAAGCAGCCTTATGGACCCCCACGCGGCAGCCGACATTCACGCCGCAACTCTCAGACCACATCGCCGTCTCCTCTACCAACCGCAGTGCAAAGCAGACGACGGCCATCGAAGAGTTGTCTCTAGTCAACGGGAGCCCACCCTGACCAGCTATGTACGCGTCCCCTACAGTTTCGACCTTGTACACCTCGAAGAAATCCGTGAGCTTGTCGAGCCGCCCGAACAGCTCGCTGACGAGCTCCACCACCTTCGCTGGCGAGAGGGTGCTCGCTAGTCGTGTGAAGCCAGCAAGGTCAGACTGCGCCAGGGTGACGGAAGGGTAGGAGTGCGTGAGAGAGGCCGTACTCTCGCGGAGCTCTCTGATAACGTCCAGGGGCATCAAGGCGGCAAGGGTGCCCTGAATGCGGTCGAGCGTGAAGGTTACCCTCTGCGAGGCTTGATGCTGCCCGCGGAGCAGGGTTTCCTGGCAGTACGCCTCGATAGCGTTGACCATGGTGTAGTAGACGAGAATGTTCCCACCAGCGGCGAACTTCAGCTGCTGCAAGCCTGTCATGTGATGGCCGCCCCAAGCAAGCGCCATCGTCAATACCACCCAGACCAACGAATACTGGAAAGGAAACTGGTACGCCGTTATCGCCAGTGCGTAGACGGGGAAAAAGACAAGGAACGCTACGTTCGAGGAAAGCTGGGGAGGATCTGTGAAAGAATGGCCAGAACCCTCCCAATTCCAAAACGAGGACAGCGGCTTCAAAGAGTCGTAGGAGACGAAGAGGCACGTCGCGACGCTGTAGCACGATCCCAATAAGAACAGGCGCGAGCGCCTCATAGCTGACAGACTCATGCCTGCACCGTGACTGCGGCGGGGGCCCAACTGGGTGTGCATAAAAACAAGTCGTGTGGCACACACTATCAGGCAGCAGGCCAGGCGACAGAGAAGGTAAATTCGCAGCTCGTGCATATACCCAATGAAATCACGAATGTGTGACATGTGTGTCCCCATAAGCACATACAACATCTCGACCACAGTCAGACTTAAAAGGCAGACCGCTTGGCAAGCCAAGCGGCTCTCTGCGTTTCTGCATGTTACCTTCTCGTGGAACCAGATCTGGAAAGACGTCTCCTCCTCCAGGCTCGACGCGGCCAATCCGTGGCACAATCCCAGCAGGCACGGTGGCCGCCAACCCTGCTCGAGGTTATTCTTCGTTGGCAACTCACGGGAGCCTCCCATGACATCTTGTCGGCCCTTGCGAATCGACGCTAGTCGACGCTAAATCGACGCTCATCGAAGCTAAATCCACGCCGATCGAAACTAACCCACGCTACATCGGCGCCATATCATCGACTCCCAGACGCCGATGACGCGAATCGACGCTAAAAAGATAGAAATACGAGGCTCCACAAGGCTCCCATGATTTGCTACCGAATCATTACTCTCGTCTCGCTGCGTCTTCATCATGCGCCAGAACGTATCGAACTCCGTCGCCTACTGGCGGCGCGCAGGGGGGGTAGCGGGAGGGGGGAAGGCTTCTTGGAAGGAGGCTGCTTCTGAGAAGGCGCCGGCCTTACATCTACAGCGAAGGCCCGCGCCTTCTAAGAAGCAGGGGTGTTTCTACGACGCCTGCCCCCCTCCCCCTCTTCCTCCTCCTCCTCCTCCTCCTCCTCCTCCTCCTCCTCCTCCTCCTCCTCCTCCTCCTCCTCCTCCTCCTCCTGCCCCTACAGCCCTGTGCGAGTGGCCGAGCCTGCGCGTAGCACCTCAGCGTCCTATCCCTGGCCGCCCGGCGCGCCCTCCTGCCGAGGAGCAGCGCGCCCAGGACGCCCGTCCTCGCCACCGCCCCGGACCTCTCCGACGGCGCGCCCCCGCTCGGCCCCAGGAAGGCCGACGGCTCGATGGGGCACTCCAAGATCGGCCGCGAGCGAGGGGGGAGGAGCGAGGAGGAGAATGACCACCTACCAGACCGGCCCAACCCAGCTCGAAGACCCGACTTTCGGATTGGGGGGGGCACACGGACGTGAGACGTGTTTTTGTCAATATTATCCGACCCCCCCACACTGCACATGGCGGGCAATTCGGGGCATTTGGGTTGGGTTGGGGTGGTTTGGTGGGTGGTGACAGGCCTTCTCAGAAGGCTCGGAAGTCCCCCAGCCCTGTGAGAAGGCTTCTGAGCCTTCCCCCCGAAGACAGAAGAAGAAACTTCTCGGAAGGCGCGAGAGCTTCTGGGAAGTCCCGCCGCCTTCTGAGAAGGCCTTCTCCTTCTCATTTCCCCCCTCGCTCGCCGCCGATAAGAGCGGGACCCTGGTGGCGTCAGGAAAATTATAGACGGTCACGAGACCATCCTTGCCCTTCATCTCCACCCCCCCTCGCAGCAGCGTCTGCTCCTCCGCCCAGGCCGGCAGCTCCCCGCGCGTCTCCGCTCCGAACTGCACCTGGCCCGCGACGCCCTTCTGCATCATGCGCGCCGCCATGTTCACGGTGTCACCGAACAGCCGGAAACGGGGCAACTTTCCGCCCACCACCCCGGCCACGACCGGCCCCGTGTGGATGCCCACCTTGAATTGTGTTGCTCCCATCGTAAGAATCATTTCGAGCACCCAGAAAGGTGTCGAAACAGTGTCGAACGAATGTCGCCTCCCAGGGCCCGACACGTGAAAACCCTCCAGGTTCGGTACTCTCTTGGTACTCGAAATTCTTTCTGGTGATCAAGGCTAAAGTAGGTTGGAGGCAAGGGTAGTGAGGGAGGGAGGGAGGGAGGGAGGGAAGGCGGAGGAAGAGGAAGGGGAGGAGGGCGAGGAGGACTCGGAAAAAGCGGCGGGAGGGAGGAGGGGGAGGAGGGGAGGGAGGGAGGGAGGGTTTGAACATCGCAAGCCTTGAAGGTGACGTCGGCTTCGGGCGCGGGCTGGAACTCCAGCATCGCGGTGGCGGCCCGGAGCAGGCGGGCCAGGAGGGCGCCGTGGCCCCACCTGGCGCTCTCCTCAACCTCGGAGGGGACGACGCCGACCGCGCAGACGTACTCCTCTCGGGGGGGAACACGAGGTGGGGTTGGAGCAAAGGTGGGGTTGGAAGGAAAATCGCTCCGACTGGCCCCTGGACGAAGGAAACGCGTTAAACAGGAGCATCCAGCTGGGCCCGTTCCCCAGACCCACTTTTGGATAACCCTACCTCTACGAACCCCCGGCGGCCAAGAGGGTGGCGTCCAACGGGGGGGGCGCAAATCGTGGCCGGCGGCATGTGCGCGGCCCAGGGGGGGGGGGCCAGGGACGCAATGAAATGAGAAGAGGCGCCATGAAATCTGAGGATACCGTGGCCCACGCCATGAGATCCACCCCCCCTAGTCTCTTGGCCGCCCCCGATCCTCCATCCACGTCTCGATCTTGGTGACCCGGTGAGTCTGGCACACTCTGTCGAACTCTATGAAAGACCTGTTCAGGAGGCCCAGCAGCTCCGAAGCAGTGAGGCTTCGGGCCTGCACATCAAAGCCTACCAGACAGATAAACATGACGGACGCTCGCTCGATATTGGGAACGTCCACCCTGCAAGCAGGGCTGTTCAATAGCGGGACGATGACGAATGAAGGCACCATGTGTTTGAGCACGTCGTACATGCTCCGTGTGGTCAGCATATGATCAAGGTCCAGCTTGAATTTAAGCTGCTCTGACCGCATGGCGCGTCTCTTCCTTCTCACCGCGAACCATTCCAAAAAAGATAAGAATGATGCTCCCACAAACAGGTCGAACAGACCCGCGTACTTATCCATAACACTGTCGTCTCTGTGATAAAGAACACCGGCACTACAGAAGCAGACCATCCATATCCCGAACAAGCAGTTCATCCAAGACTTCTTCGCACACACACTCGGCTGCAGCAATACCCAAATCATAGCATCCAGCATCATGTTGTAGGACGGGAAGACACAGGAATGGCATGTCAACTCCCCCGTAACATCAGCACAATACAGTACAGACGTGAAACTACGGTAGTCGACTCCAACAAACAAATCAGAGACCAACCAACTCACAAATATTACGAACACTACCGCTTTGTATGCAAGAAGAGTTGGCCGCCGAATGCAGTAGGCTGTTCCGAAAAATGAGCTGAAATAGAAAACAAAACTATTCGCGTCCGAAAACATTGATCGGTGATTACCACCACAAACCATTTCGTGAATGATACCCATGGTCTGACCGAAAAACAGCAGATATGCAAGCCCTGTGAACATCGCCACCCTCGCCCCGAGCTTGATGTTCGGAACGACGACGTCCTCGTGCCACTGCTCAGGGAACCGCTTCTCCAGCTTGTCCTCGCACGCCTGCGTGCTCGCCACCCTACACTTGGCCGCGACGCGCCGCCACGGGCCGACGCTCCCGTCCGACTCGTCCGACTCGTCCGCCCCGCTGCCGCCCAGCTCGCTGCCGCCCAGCTCGCTGCCGCCCGTGGCGCTGCCGCCGGTGGCGCTGCTCGCCGTGCCGCTGCTCGCCGTGCCGCTCTGGCTCCACTCGACCTCCTGGTCGTCGGAGCTGGTGCCGCCTTCGACGTCGCTCCCCTCCTCGTCGTCCTCGTCCTCGCCCCCGCTGCTGCGGGACCGCAACCGCTGCTGGTAGGCGCACCGCCCCCGGCGCGGCCTCGCCATACGCGCTGGTCAGCGACCCCGGGGGAGGGGCGGAGGGATGAGGGAAGGCAGGAGCTGGAGTGGGCCTGTGCGCAGCGTCAGGCCCTGCCAGACGGGAGGAGATATGGGCCCGCCCGTCTTCGATCAGATCCCCCTTGGGAGTATAATCTGCCTTACCTGCCACGCGTAGTTGGCGCAGCCCCTGAAACCGAAAAAGGAAGGTAGGAAGGAAGAGACAAGAGGGAGGGAGAAGGATGGAGCACGAGAGAGATTAGCAGGAGGAGCGCTAGGAGCAGAAAATCAAGCGGCAGAACCTGACGGGCGGGTCGGGCGGGCGGACCCTGACGGGCGGGTGGGGCGGGCGGGCCCAGACGGCCGGGTCGAGGGGGCGGGTCGCGCATGAATCGTGAGGAAGGCTCGAGCAATGGCGCGATTCCGAAGCAAATCGTGAAGAAGTGCAAAGCGAGAGCGTGATTCCTGAATGTCGAAGCGCTGCGTTTCCATGAATTGCAAGGAAGTCCCACGCGAGAGCGCAATTCCTGGATAAATTGCGAGGAGGTCCCGCGGGAGTAGCTATTGCGGTAGTTCGGGGGCCAACAACGCAATCTGAGGCGCAAAACGTTCCTTTGAAACACACAAGGTGCGAGCTCCGGGAAAAGCACGTCAATTGAAAAAGCGCAATGGGCACCTGACGGGGGATCAACAATTATAAGAATCCATTATAATTGAGAACTCGACAACAACAATCAGCTTAAGATTGTTCGTTCGTATACGCTCGCGTCAACATGTATGGCCCGAAATCCTCGACCCCCGCGCTCTTACTCTTCGATCGCACCCCATGTAATTGTATGTGTAACACCCTGCAACTGCAGATAACGCGGCGGGGTCGTCGGAAGTCTGCGAAGCTCTGAAGAAGCCCGCCGTAGGCGCCGAGTACTTCACGCTTTACACCATGAACCCGACGCAAGTGCCCACTTTTTCGTCAAAGCAACGTGTGTGGGTCGCGGGTGGGTCGCAGGGTGGATAACGGGGTGGGTCGCGGGGTGGTCGCGGGGTGTGTCGCGGGTGGGTCGCGGGCGGGTCGCGGGCGAGGACGACGACAACAACGCAACAACGCAGCAACATTCCGCACCGAGGAAGCCCCACTTCAGCCACACGCCCGGGCACAGTGAATGACCGTTCGTAGACAAGCGCGTTTCCCTACTCACAAAGTAACTAGTCGCAACTGGCCTGGATCTGCCACTGGGGGATTTACGATACCTTATACCGATGCAAACATGTTTTTTCCCCCACGTTTGCGTGTAGGCACTTTGCGAGCAGCGGAACGCGCTGGGTGAGTCCGACCCCCCGTCCTTAACCGCCACGCGTCGTTGGCGCAGCCTTGGGACCGCCGCTCGCCCTCCCGCCCCACCTGGTCCCCGCGCCCGCTGGCTGCTCGGCGCGGCGGCCCTACGGCCTCCCGGCTGCGTTGCCTGCACCAGCCGCGAAGCGCCCCTCTCCACCTCGCCACGCAGTCCCTGCTACGGGGCGCTCCGCCTCGCCAGCCCTGTGGCGGGCGGCTTCGCCGAGCCCAGACGTGATGCGTGCACCGGTGAGGGCTCGGCTCTCTGCCCCCCCCCCCCTCCCGCCATTGCCAGGGCTTCCCCGCGCGAGGCACCGTGCCGCCCACCGGCGTGTTCCTGCGGAGCAGCCCCGCTTCTGAGCAGCCCTGCTGGTGGTCCACTTTGGCGCCTCCGCCAGCAGCCCTCTGTGCGGCCCCGGCTGCCCCTCTCGCAGATTCCGCCGCCCTGCCCTCGACAGCCTCGCTGGACGCCATCTTGGCCCCGGCCGCCGGGGCCTGGTACTGCGGCACTTGGATTGGTGGCGTCGGTTGCGCAGCTGTCTCTGGCACCTGTTGCGCTCGGCCCGGAAGCATCGCAATCCCACAGCCCAGTTCCCAGCAGCTCAACAGGGCTTTGCAGCATCTTGCCGCTGTGAATTAGCTATCGCGGCCCTACCCCCCAGTGGGTATGGGCCTTCATCCATCCGTCGGACCTGCCGTGCAGCAAAGCCCGTCACCCCGGCCCTACGACGACCACCTGGATGCTGCCCTTGCGTGGGTTCGCCCGCCGCTCCTCCTCCAGTACTGGTGCTATTTTTGCCTTCGGTTGCGTACTGCTGCCTGCGCCCCAGCCCCTAGGAGTGGCCGCGACGCCGACCCGCGTCCACTGCCAAACCGCGTCAGCGCAGGACGGCCGCCTGGTCACTCCATCCGAATTTTTGTTGCGCTGTGAATGCCCTCCTTCCTTTCCGGCCTTCCGCGGCCGCGCACCTCCTCGGCCTCCATCTTGCCGCCAACAACTAGTGTCTGCCATTGCCTGGCACACTGGAGCGCGCGTGCGGATTGCCTCTGCCGCGCTGCGATGTAAAAACTGTAGTTGGCGCAGCCCCTAAGACAGAGGAAAGGCGGGAGGGGAGAAGGGGTAAGGGGGAGGAAGCAGGGTGGAGCACGAGAGAGATTAGCAGGAAGGCAGCGAAGATAAAAAATCCTGGCGAAGGTCCCAACCATATGCAGTTGTGGGTACCGTAATTGTGAATATCTGCTTCGGTGAAGCTCCCTATGGGGCCACGAAGCGCTGCACTGGGCGGGGGGGAACGCTGTACTGTGTGGGTGGTGTGCCGAAGTGGGTTTCCGGGACACATGCGGACGGTCCCACTGAGGGCTTCGGTGGAGCTCCCTATGGGGCCACGAAGCGCTCTACTGAGTGAGTGAAAATGCCAAATTGGGCTACCTGAGCGCATGCGGGTGGTCCCGCAGGGGGCTTCCGTGGAACCCCCTAACTGCGCGGGTGAAAATGCCAAATTACATTTCCCAGACGCATACGGACGGTAGCATTGGGGCCTTGGGTGGACCCCCCATATATGGGGCCACGAAACGCTACATGGATGAAAATGCCAAATTGGGCTTCCGGGACGCATGCGGACGGGGGCACTGGGGCCTTCGGTGGAGCTCCCTATGGGGCCACGAAACGCTGTATTGGGTGGGCGAAACGCAGGGAGGAGGGGGAGGAGGGCCACGAAACGCTGTACTGGGTGTGCGGGACGCATGCGTACGGTAGCATCGGGACCTTCGGTGGGGCTCCCTATGGGGCCACGAAACGCTGTACTGGGTGTGCGGGACGCATGCAGACGGTAGCACTGGGACCTTCGGTGGGGCTCCCTATGGGGCCACGAAACGCTGTACTGGGTGTGCGGGACGCATGCGGACGGTAGCACTGGGACCTTCGGTGGGGCTCCCTATGGGGCCACGAAACGCTGTACTGGGTGGGTGGTACGCAGGAGGAGGGGGAGGAGGGCCACGAAACGCTGTACTGGGTTGTGCGGGACGCATGCGGACGGTAGCACCCGGACCGTAGGTGGGGCTCCCAAGTATGGGGCCACGAAACGTTGTACTGGGTGGATGAAACGCAGGGAGAAAGGGGAGGAGGGAGGGGGAGGAGAAAAGGAGGGGAGAACGCGGGGCGACGTCTCTTCAAAACGAGGACCCAACACCACAGGATGGTTGGGAACAAGTGGCAGGACCAGACGGGCGGGTCCGACGGGCCGACCCTCGTGGGCGGGTCGGGCGGGCGGGCCTGGAGGGCCAGGTCGAGCGGGCGGGTCGCTGAAGCATCAGTCCTGCATGAATCGTGAGGAAGGCTCGCGCAATGGCGCGATTCCCAAGTAAACCGTGAGAAGTCCATAGCGAGAGTGTGATTCCCGAGTTTCGAGGGGGCGGCGTCTGAATACATCGCGAGTGTTTCACGCGAGAGCGGAATTCCTGGGTGAATTGCAAGAAGTCTTGAGCGAGAGCGCAAGTCTTCAATAAGATGTGATGACGTATAAGGCGGGAGCCATTGCTGTAGTAGTTCGGGGGCCAACCACGCCGATCGTACCCACCTTGGGGCTATATCTCCTTACCTGCCACCTGTAATTGGCGCAACCCCTAAATCAGGGGAAGGAGGAAGGGAGGAGGCAAGAGACAAAGGGCAGGGAGAAGAATGAAGAACGACAGAGATTTGCAAGAAGGGCATTAGAAGCAGGAGCACAAGCGGCAAAACCAAACGGGCGGGTCGGGCGCGCGGACCCTGACGGGCAAATCGAGCGGGTGGGCCCAGACGGGCTGGGCGGGCGGGCAGATCGCTAAAGCGTCAATCCAACATGAGTCGCCAGGAAGTTTCGAGCGATAGAGCAATTCCTAAGTAAATCGTGGGAAAGTCCAAAGCGAGAGCGCGATTCCTGAATTTAAGGGTCACGCGAGAGCGCGATTCCTGGACAAAATATGGAGAATTCCAGCGCGGGAACGCGATTTTGAAATCAAGTCTGAGAAAGTATCAGGCGGGAGCCGTGGTTGTTGCATGTCAGGGTCCAGGAACCCAATCTGAGGCGCAAGACTTTCTCTGGTGAACACTATAGTGCGAGCCCAGGGATGAACACTTCAATTGAAAAACACAGTGGGCACCAGGGGGGATCGCCAATAGATTTCTTTAGAAATGAGAAATCAATCATTTAAACCGTTCAGTCTTATCTGCTCGCGTGCCGTTCAACGCGTATATCCCGAAAGCCTCGATACCCGCCCTCGTCGTCTTTGATCGTATCCCCCATGGGGGTATATCGTCCTGACCTGCCACATGTAGTTCGCACAGCCCCTAAAAGAGGAGAAGGGTATCAGAAGGGGATGAGAATAAAATTATCCTGGCGAAGGTCCCAACCATATGCAGTTGTGGGTACCGTAATTGTGAATATCTGCTTCGGGGAAGCTTTCTTATGGGGCCACGAAGCGCTACACTGGGCGGGGGGGAACGATGTACTGTGTGGGTGGTGCGTGCGGACGGTCCCGCTGAGGGCTTCGGTGGAGCTCCCTATGGGGCCACGAAGCGCTCTACAGCGTCAGTGAAAATGCCAAATTGGATTTCCGGGACGCACGCGAACGGTCCCACTGGGGGCAGCCCCCTATGGGGCCACGAAACGCTGCACAGGGTGGACGAAAATGCCAAATTGGG